AATAAAGTTTTCTGTTTCCCATGCTTGCTTTTCCGTTCTTCTTTAACATTGGACAGGGTGATGTGTGGAGTAGCGTAGGTGTTGTGCGATGTAAAACACTTCTCTGAAAAGGCTAAAAAACACGAATCTAGCAAAGCTCATCTTACCTGTGCAGTGAAGCTAGCCATGCTTGGACAAGCTAATATAGCAACACCGTTAGATGAGAGCTATGGTGTCGGTGTGCGAAACCACAATAAGAAGTGGATAAAAATAGACATTCTCTCGAAGTTTATTGACTGTGTTTGAGTTAGCTCTTAGAGGGCATGATGAAACGGAAACCTCTGACAATCCCGGTGTTTTCAGAGGTCTTGTGGATCTTGTTGCTTCCCTTGACAATATCATGAAGGAACATCTTGAGCACGCCACAGTTTTTAAGGGTACCTCTAAAACTATTCAGAACAAGTTACTGGACTGCATGCTTGATGTAATGCAAGGCCACATTATAGGTGAGCTGAAAAAAACTGCCTTTCTCTCTGTACAGTCTGACGAAACCACGGACATATCAACTCACTGCCAACTCATAGTAGTGTTCCGTTATATTGATCCTGTTAACACTGTGCAAGAGATTTTTTTTTTTGGTTTTAAAACAATTGACGGTCACGCGAATGCCGATTCAATCTTCAAGGTGCTATTAGAGCAGTTGCGTGTAGTTTGCTCTCCTGACAGTGAATTTGAGAAGGGGAGACTTATTGCACAAACATTTGATGGGGCTAGTGTGATTAGAGGAGCATCTGGAAGAGTGTGTAAGAAAGTACAGGACGTTTACCCGAATGCACATTTTCTGCATTGCTATGCACACCAATTAAATCTGATAATGGAGCAAGCTGTTTCTGGAATGGCACCTGTCCGATGTTTTTTTCGGATCTTGGTGGTTTTTCACCTTTTTTTTCGAGATCCCCAAAAAGAACAGCAGTTCTGAATGAAATAGTAGGGAAACGGATACCATGGTCATCTCAGACACGATGGAAATTTAGCAGCCATTCTACTGGAATGTTTTGAATCTATCCAGTCGTCTCGAGGCATTGATTCAGTTACTGTTATGGAGGCTAAAGGTTTCTGTCGAATGCTTTCCGATCACGAATTTCTCTTCTTTTAGGATCTGTTTCATTTAATTAGGCCCCGTGTTGACATTTTTTATGCACAGGTACAAATGCGAGGAATTGACACAGTAGAGGCACACAGAGTCACAAGAAGTTTTGTGAATTCCATAGGCAAAATCTGCGATGATATTCCATCTCTGTGCATAAAATATACCAGCACGGATGCTCAGCCTAAGTGAAAGAGCGCACCCAATTTACAGCAGATCGCATATGAAGTTTGTGACACTGTAATAGCCAATGCCAAAGAGAGATTTGATTTCACAGGTCATCTGTCGGCTGCAAAAAATTGACAACGTGCTACTGTGAATTTTCAAAAAAATTCCCTAAAGAGTTCTTGAAAAGGACTGTAGATGCATAGCCTATGATAAATGAACGTCTCCACATAGAGCTCTCGTTGATTTATGACAATCCAGACTTCCGTGCGTGTGGAGGTGCAACCACATTTTTCACATTTATAAACAGAAATAATTTGAACGATGTGCTCACAGAAACACTGAAACTCCTACACATTCTGATCACAATGCCAATGATAACTGCCGAGTCTGAGAGATGTTTCTCCGCACTTAAACAAATTAAGCACTTAAGACAATTAAGACATTTCTGCAAAACACTATGTCCCAGGAAAGACTTAATGCTTTGGAGATGCTTTCAATAGAAAAACGTTTAACACATGAGATCCCCGAATTCAACAAAGCATTCATTGAAAAATTTGCTAATATGAAACCACGGCGGGCCAAATTCTTACACAAATAAATTTCATCAAATTAGTATGAAAGCAGAAATTCTTCAGTTCAAACCTGCTCATGTAAATAGCCTGTAAATATACAAAATTACTACGTTCTAGAAAAGGAAAGAATAGCAAAAGTAGACCTACAAATAAAATGAATATCAACAACAACAATAATAAATAAACAATAACAATTTTTTTTTTTTAAATCGCCTGTAAATAGTTTTTGTGTTTGTTTTGTTAAATAACCCAGTTCCCTGTGCGCTCATGGATACGACCCAAAAACTGCCACACCTAAATTTATGATCAGGAGCCGCTACTGCTTGCAACCATTTACCATATAGACCCTTTTCACAAGACTGTGATGACGCGTTTCAACAGTCATCAGCATTGTAAATCCTCGAAAGTTGTTTATACTTTGATTTAAAAAAAAAAAAGTATGTACATTTATAATGCTATACTTTGTATTAAATCATCTTTGCATCAAATTACAACAAAACTAGTTAACGCTAATGCGAGGGTGTTTCTAATGCAGCGATGCTTCTAATGCAGTGGAGTTTTTCTTTTGCTATTTGACCGAATGGGAATGCAAAAAATATATTTGTGGTACCCTCCCATTCACTGCTCTCGAAGTTAACCCAACTGTCACGACTTCTGCTGCTGAGAAACCTGGAAATGTGAAAAAGGTCTACTAAATAAATCTCTTGGGTATATTCTATTGAAATTATTAGCTATTATAAGGAATTCAATACAGTTCTGATGGTTTTGCACATGCAACTCTGTTGCCTTTGTTTCCTTGTTCTTAATCAGTAAGATGGATGCTCACATAAGGCAGCAAATTCCCCAAATGATTCAATCTCTGATGTTACTCAACAGGTCATCAGTGAACTGAATGGCAAAGACATCAATGAAGTCATGAATGCCGGTAAGGCTGCTTTGCATTTACTGTTTGACCTACATAATATAAAAATCTCGTGAGCAGAATTTCTTCACAAGTCTCACTTTGTTGTTTTATGTTTATTTTGCCATAGGCCTCTCTAAGTTAGCCTCCGTTCCAGCGGGTGGTGCAGTGGCGGTTTCTGCTGCTGCCGCTGGTGGCGGTGGTGCCGCTCCTGCTGGGGAAGCACCTGCAGGTGGGTAGTTGAATTAACCTGCTACCAAGGTTTTTAATAGAAAACTGAAACCATTAAACCAAAAACTTTAAAACCAAAAAACTATAAACATTTCCCATTTTCATTTAGCTAAAGCTAAAACTGAAATAAAAATTAATCAAATCTATGTAGACATTAAGGAAAATTATTAAAAAAATGACAGATCAATATTAATAACTTTTGAACTCAAATAAAAACAAACAAATAAAACTATAATAGTATCTTATAAAAAAAAATAACACTGTCTGGTACTGACACCAGTTTGTTCATGTACAAAGAATTATTTCATTCTAATTTGATGATATAGGTTCTACTAAAAAAAATCATTGTTTAGTTTTCCAGATGCATTACATGTTAAATGTTAGCAAAATGTCCCCTTGCCCAGTTTCTGATCTGCTTTTCATTAGAAGTTGAACTACGCCCATTACACACTAATTGGTTTGTAATGGATCTGATCAGATAGTAGCATTCCTGCCGTCTTCCCTCATGCTAAATTGCAGCAGTCCAAACTTTAATTACAGACAGGCTGATCTGGTCCACTGATTATGTACTTTGTGGTTGAAGTCAGAAATAACCAGGAAGCTTTGTGATGTGTAATTTCACATTTGCATGTTTACTTTTCAGCGGAAGAGAAAAAGGAAGAGAAGAAAGAAGAATCTGAGGAGTCTGATGAAGACATGGGCTTTGGCCTCTTTGATTAATCTTTCTTTTGTACCTGTAAAAATACAATAAAAAAGGAAAACATTTGTGTTTAAAGCTGCCTGCCCTGATCATTTGTCTGCAAAATGGTACATTGTTTTTATTATTATTTTTTTAATATATTTTTTTCTTACAGATCTAAGTTGAATAGATCTAATCAAAAAAGGTTCTGAATTCAACTCAATGTTTTCTCTAAAGATATATGGTATTATGTTTGTATTTTTTGTAATCTCTTAAAGGTGCAAAATGGTATGGGAAAACTAGTAAAGTTTAAAGTCAGAAAATAAAGTCACATTGTAAATAATTGTAAATCCACAGTTATAAAAGATGAAGGCATGCTGCAAGATCGAATTCACAAAACAAATCGTAAGTTGAAAGTCATGGTCGGAATTACTTTGAATTGTTTTACTCAATGGAACTGGTCTTCAATAATAATGTTATTTAAAAATGTTTTCATCATTTCTATATTTATAGTTTGCTCCAAACTCATAGTATTGGTTGAGCTAATTGTCATGTCAGAACAATCAAGAAAACCATGATAATTAAACCATTAAACTGAGATAAGAGAAAATATGTGACCCTGGAGCACAAAAGCAGTCTTAAGTCGCTGGGGTATATTTGTAGCAATAGCCAAAAATACATTGTGTGGGTCAAAATGAATGATTTTTTTTTAATGCCAAAAATCATTAGGATATTAAGTAAAAATCATGTTCCATGAAGATATTTTGTAAATTTCCTACTGTAAATATATTAAAACTTAATTTTTTGATTAGTAATATGCATTGCTAAGAACTTAATTTAGACAACTTTAAAGGTGATTTTCTCAATATTTAGATTTTTTTCCCACCCTCAGATTCAAGATTTTCAAATAGTTGTATCTCGGCCAAATATTGTCCTATCCTAACAAACCATTCATCAATAGAAAGCTTATTTTTCCGCTTTCAGATGATGTATAAATCTCAATTTTGAAAAATTGACCCTTATGACTGGTTTTGTGGTCCAGGGTCACATATATTAAATAAGCCTTTGGAGGAAGTTCACGGTGACTTTTCTAAAATAAGACATGTTGCTTAGAGAAAAACACAATGAGTGCCTGGCAAAAGCCTCTGAGCATGTGTTGGTCAGAAGTCAATTGCGTTATTGCAGCCATCAATCACTAGTCTGTGGTGTATAAAAATAGGTCCAGGTGGCCAAATAGCATGAACTGGCAATGCCTTGTCATGCTCACTGCCCACTGTCACTCTTTAAAATAAGCCTGAGCTTAATTCACTGCTCAGAGATAATCAGGCTTTCAGTAGAGCTTCTGCTGCTCTCCTCTCTCTCCCTGGGCGCAAAAGATGTTATGAACTGTTACGTAAGTAAATTTTACACGTTGGTTCGTTCTCAACTTTTTTGAGCTTAACTGAGATTAACTGGTGGTTTATATGTGAAATATAAAGAATATGTACCGTACCCGTCAAAAGTTTAGGATCAGAATGATTTTTTTGTTTTTTTTTTACAAGAGTTTCTTATGATCATCAAGACTGCATTTATTTGATTAAAAATACAGGAAACAAAATTTAATATTGTGAAATATTATTATGATGTAAAATAAAAATTTTCTATTTAATATACATTAAAATCTAATTTATTCCTGTGATGCAAAGCTGAATTTTCAGCATCATTACTCCAGTCTTCAGTGTCACATGATCCTTCAGAAATCATTCTAATATTCTGATTTATTATCAGTGCTGGAAACTGTTGTGCTGCTTAATATGTATTTGGAAAATGTGATACTTTTTTCAGGATTCTTTGATGAATAAGTTAAAAAAGAAGAGCATTTATATAAAATAGAAATCTTTTCAACAATATACACTACAGTTCAAAAGTTTGGGGTCAGTACATTTTCATTCTTTCTTTTTTTGAAAGAAATTTAAATTTTTATTCAGCAAGGATGTGTTAAATTGTTCAGAAGTGATAGCAAAGATTTATATTGTTAGAAAATATTTATATTTTGAATAAATGCTGTTCTTTTTTAACTTTTTATTCATCAAAGAATCCTGAAAAAAGTATTGCAGTTTCCAAAAAAATACACACAACGCACAACTGTTGCCAACATTGATAATTCTAATAATAAATCAGCATATTAGAATTATTTATTAAGGATCATGTGACACTATGACTGGAGTAATGGCTGATGGAAATTCAGCTTTGCATCACGGAAATAAATTATATTGTAAAGGATATTAAAATAGAAACCATTATTTTATATTGTAATAACATTTTGCAAGATTACTGTTTTTTTCTGTATTTTTGATCAAATAAATGCATCCTTAATGAGCATGAGAGACTTTAAAAACATTACAAGTCTTACTGATCCCAGACTTTTGACCGGTAGTGTCTGCAATTGTATGAAACATTTATAGTTCCTTAAAAACGTAAAAACGTATGTAATAATCATGGTTTACAGGTTTAAATAAAGGGGGAAAACCTAAATAAGGTGTTAAATGAAGTTAAGGGTTAATAGTTCACTTGAAAATTAAAAACAAACAAAATAAATTGTCACAATTTACTGACCCTAATAAGAATTTCTTTCTTGAGCACAAAAGAAGATATTTTGAATTCAATGGTTATCAGCAACTGCTTGGTTTCCAACATTCTTCAAAATATCTTTTGTGTTCAAAAGAAGAATGAAACTCATACAGGTTCAGAACAACTTCAGGGTGAGTAAATAATTGCAATTTTCATTTTTGGGTGAACTGTCCCTTTAGGTTTTGAATATTTTAGTTTGTTGGTTCTTATAAAAGACAACAAGCTTGCAATCCATTTGCTACAATGATATCATCCACCAGGCATTTCAAGGTTTTTTAACATCATGGGATGTTGTTGTGAAGCAGTAATTTTCCATTGCTATTGCTTGTGGAATAATAACACTTGTTAGATTTGTGCTGGTCAGTCTAAGTCTGAGCATCGGAACACACACAACTAAGACTATTCAATAAACTCTGCTCTTTTTTTATCATCACTTCATCTCCTGCTTCTGCTCATCACTGGCTTTACTCAGTCAACTTCTTGTTAACAGTCTGAGTAAGACTGTTAATACAGTTTTGGGTACCAGATAAGACTTGCTGTTAACAGGTTTTGGGTATTAGACAACTTTGCTGACCAGTTGCTCTGTTACCAGTCAAAACAGATATTTGCTGACAGGATCTGGCGTCCGGGGCTGAATCTGATCATTCTGGTGTGGAGATATGATCTAACACAATCCTACTTGAGGATGTGACGATGAAGACAACACAAGAAGTCAGAGAAAATAAGATAAATGAAGAGAAAAGGTGGGACAAAGCAGAGCCTTTTGATGAAATAAAAGCGGATACTGAGTTACCGGAGGAGTACTATCATGGGCTTGAGGATTTACCCTGGAGCCTGAACTCACTGGAGCAGTTACTGTATATCAGCCTGCCAGCATGGATACAAAGAGGTGAGTAGCCCAATAACATACATGATCACTCAAGAAGATTCAATGCACTTCCAGCTTTAGTTAATGACACTCAGCTTTCGCTGGTGATTCTGGGGGAAACCTTGCATCAGAGCTTTATGAGGGCCAGCGGGCAGCCCTCCATCACTCTTACCCTCATTACGCCCTGCATATCCCACCTGCTCTACAGAAGGATCATGTCAGGCAAATGTTTTCGCGGTACAAGTTGTTCATGACTGAAATAAGTATGACAAACAGTATCTAGTGATATACAGGCCTGAAAAGTATATTTAAACAGCGAAGTCATCTTCAATATGCAGTATCATTGCAGTATGTTAAAAATATCAAAGCAAAAAGAAAGAAATATATATACTTTAATTCATCATGGATACATTAAATTGATCAAAAGCAACAGTAAAGGCAATTCTTTTGAACTTTATTTTCATTAAAAAAAAATTTCTACACAAATATTAAGCAGCAAACTGTATGACATAATAAGAAATGTTTCTTGACCAGCAAATCAATATTACAATGATTTCTGAAAGATCATGTGACACTGAAGACTGGAGTAATGATGCTGAAACTTCAGCTTTGCACCATTTTAAAATATATTAACATAGAAATCAGTTATTTTAAATTGTAACAATATCTCATAATATTATCGTTTTTATTGTATTTTTGATCAAATAAATGCAGCCTTTCGTTGCAAAGATGGCTCAGAAACATTATTTTTGAGAAAATCTATTTAACAGCATTTTTTGCAGATTACACTTGGTTTGATATTATTTAATGAAATATTATTTAACACTGAAGTCATTTAACACTTTGAGGCAGCTGTATAATGCACAATAATATAATAATGACCAGAATTATACTTTGATACATTGCTTTCATGTTTGCACTGTATGTAAAAATGCACATGCTAAAATGAAATCTCTCTCTTCAGCTCTGCTTTGTAACTTAGCTGAGCGGTTTGGCATCTGGACCTTTCACAACAACTTCCTGCCGTGTCGTCTCATATCCTACACCCTACTGCCGTACACTCTGCCTGCTTCAGCTGTCATCTCATTCATCTACAGGTCAGATCTTTAGTCTAAATATGTTGCTTGTGTTTCTCATTTCTATGTATCTTATCAGTACAAGAGATATGAAGAAATATACTTAAGTGCCTGTTGTCATTCGTTTTTTTGCATGTGTTTGGACACCAAACAGATTTTTTTGCTGGGTGAAGAAAATTCCCCACCAGGTTCTGAATGCGGGCAGGGAATTCAAACAGGAAGTGATGGCACATCCGTGGTTAGTCTTTACACACTTGAGAGGACTTTTGCTGAACAGGTAAAACGAGTTGAGCAAAGTTTTGCACCACGATTAACCTTTTAATCAAAATAAAAATTACATTAGCAAACCATTTAAAGGGGTCATATGATGCGATTTAAATTTTTCCTTTCTCTTTGGAGTGTTACAAGCTCTTGGTGCATAAAGAAGATCTGTAAAGTTGCAAAGACTAAAGTCTCAAATCCAAAGAGATATTCTTTATAAAAGTTAAGAGTCAACCACGCCTACCTAAAATGGCTTGTTCTAACACGCCCTCACATATCTACCTCACTATGTGGGAAGATTTGCATAACACCGCCCAAATGTTCACGCAAAGAAAGAAGGCGTAACTTTAATTCTTGCTGCCATGTTGTGGAGTCGCTGTGTGTTTCGTTGTGAAAGTGAAACTACTTTGGCCTTCCAAAAGAGGACACAACTAGAAATCAGCGGTTAAGTTGTATTTACAACACTGTTCCAGAACAGTT